ACACTTTTTGAGTATCGGTACTTTACTTGAGTATTATTTTTTCTGGGAACTTATGACTTTAACTTCACTACATTTGAAATACAAATATTGTACTTTTCACTCCACTACATTTCTATCAAGGTCCTCAAAGTAGAAAGTCGTTACTATGTATCAGCTTTGAAAGTCAGTGGGTGATTTTTTTCTTCTCTAAAAGGTTTACTTAATAAGTTCCTGACTGACAGGGGTCAGGGGTGAGACACCTCAGGAACAGGTGCACATGAAAGGCCTTATCTTTCTTTGGCTAATGCACACAATCAATGTGTACACAGTGTGATACATTCACACACAATATGATTCTTTTTCACTTGCATCCAGACAGTGAGTGGCACAGTCACTGCTTGTACAGGTCAGGAGAAGAGTGAAAATCTTACTGATTATGATTCCTTTAGCACTGCCTAATGTACAAGTCAAAGACATACCTTCCTGTTTGTTTGTAGATCTAGAATCTTTGATAAGAGGGAAGCCATCCAAGACTCCCGCTATCTCATTGCACTGTTTGGAGCCAGACCTTTAACAGGTCTTCTGGGGCATCAGCGCCGTGTTCCTCCCCCTCTAAGCAGACTTCCTGTCATTCCAAACATTCCAAGCTATGGAACTGGAATCAGAGATTAGTGGGTTCAGGGTGTGTAACTTTTAAACACTTGCTGATGTTGTGTGTCTGTGCACTTGAACATATTTGAGCATATGAAGAACACCTGCATTTTTGATTAATTTATATTTGAAAACTGAATTAAATGGCATGTGTAGAAAGATTGATTCCTTTCTTTCTTGTATAGAGCAAGCAAGTGTAAATGTCACATGTTAGCATCATCACATAACAGTTTCAGACATTTTGTAGATCTGTGAATGTCATATATTCACAAGGCACAGTGAACGTAAATCCTTATTCAGTTTTTTAAATGTCAAGCCAAACTCTCAGGGGAGAAAAGAAGGTCACATTAATAAGACAGAACTCTTGCCAACAGAATGGCCGGATATTCCTCCCTAACATTTCCCTTGTCCAAGGGGCCCGGAGTCACTCTCATTATATTGTGCTCACAGGAGCATGCACGTTGCTTCCTGCATATCGCCACATTTATCAAAGCGCCCGGCTTGATGACTTGAGCTCTTGTATACATTTTCTGAGGCGGTGCTTAGAAAACCACTGACACTATCTCAGTTTTGTAGTTTGTGTTGTTGTGTATTCTTGTTGAAGTTTACTAAGTAGAACAGGCTTTACTTAGCAACCACTGAGTAATGAGTACCACTGAGTAATTTTTAGTATGAGATTATGAAGGCAGATATCAACAATATACACAGCTATACAAACTATTGATTTAAGAAGATTTGATTTGAAGGCTGTTTGCATACAGTTTCAATGTCATATTTTTGGGGCATTTGAAGCATGTCTAGTGTAAATGCATTGTAACTAGGGATGCACGTATATTAAAATTATAGCTGAGGCTGATATGCTGCTAAACTATTTTTATGTTATAGCTGATAATGATATTACTAGCCAACAAATGGTCAATATTTAAATTCTTAAATTCTTCCTAATTCTCTAAATTAGGCTAAAACACTTTAAACTAAAAACCAATAGTTTTAAATGTTACAAGATAATTTAGGCATGATAACATTATAACTTACATTATGAAAAATTAGTGCTGAGCGATATACCGGTTCAAACGGTAAACTGGTTTGAATTTCGCATCCGGAATGATTTTTTTAAAAACCGGCTACCGGTACAAGTGCCTAAGCAATGTAGACAGCGTAGTGAATTGAGAGTTAGCTCTTAACTTAACTTGCAAAGATTGCCGGCGGCCTCAGATTATTGTTGTTTCACATTCACAGAACACCACACTTTTAATTGCATTTAATATATTATACTAAAAAAAAAACAATTGCATTGGGTTTGTAAAAGCTAATAATAATAGTAAAAATAATAGGCTAACTTAGATTACAATTTCGATTTGTCTCTCGGCAAACCCTACCGTATGCCTTCAGAACACTTGGAATATGAAATGAGTTGAATGGGATAATTTTATGTTAGTAAAAAGAATGAAAAAGCTTACAATTTATTAAATGGACAAGTGCTAGCATTTTTTTTCTTTTGTGATCTGAAAAAACAAATGAGATAGCCTAATAGGGCTTTATAACAGCATCAGGTTGACTTATTACTGGTTGTGAAGGGATAAATAAACTATTAACTATGAGAGCGAGCGAGCAAAATAAGGGTTAGGCGTAAAAGAGCACATAGTTATTGTGTTGGGGCCCCATACCTGGAATTTGCTTAGGGCCCCCAAATCACTAAGTCCACCCCTGGTTTTGACCAGCAGGCGTCACCAGCGTGTGGTGTTTCAAACGCTTCGAAACAGTGAATCATTTTGCGAAACAATTGGTTCAGTTCATTCGAAGCTTCAAAAAGGTTCGTTTTCCCCCATCACTAGCTCATATGTCAGTAACATTACGCGTTCATAACCCGCCCTGCCTCTTCCGATGACGAAATTCCACTAGGTGGGTAAATACGGAAATCAAAGTGATGTGAATGGGTAAACCATGTAATGCCAGAATAATAGCTGAATACAAACAAAAGAATGATAAAAGAATAATGAGGATTACGTCTCATACCTGGCAGAGGTCGCAAGTGATGGGCAGAGCGAGGCTTTATGAATCACTGAAACAGTTGAAGCAAATGTGCCGTATTGTGTCGAGACTTCGAAACAATCAGACACCCGTCTCCACTGCGACAGTGGTCACTTGCACGCAGAGGCAGACAGTAACTAAGTACATTTACTTGAGTATTGTACTTAAGTACACTTTTTGAGTATCGGTACTTTACTTGAGTATTATTTTTTCTGGGAACTTATGACTTTAACTTCATGAATGAGATCTTACAAATATTGTACTTTTCACTCCACTACATTTCTATCAAGATCCTC